CAACTTTTTCTTTTGTACTTGCTTATTTTTCTGAGACAGGTTCTCAGTATGTAGCCCAGGCTAGTCTGAAACTTGTGATCCTCCTACTTCATCTTCCCTAGTGCTAAAATTGCAGTGCATGACCATGGCCAGCTCTCCTTAGTTTTGGGTTCATGTTAGATCTCTTCTTTGCAGCCATTGCTCTGATCTCCCAGGTTTCTATGGTATTATTTTTGCATAGTCTCAGTTTCCTCATTCTTTATTTTATGACTGCCCCCTTGTTTTTTGGTAGCGCTCTTAACTCCCACTGCTGTTGGAATCCCAGCGTGAGCTCTACTCAAATGTGGTGTGTATTAGCCCTCCTTTAGGTAACACCAGATTTATTGTGTTCTTCAGCTTCTGCTTGGAAACATGGGAATTTTTGTCATTTTATTTGTTTATAATATTGATCACTCTAGGGTTTTAGAGATGGCTCAGTGGTTAAGAACACTGACTGTTCTTGCAGAAGACCTGGGTTTGAATCTCAGCACCCACATGGCAGCTAACAACTGTCGGTAACTGCAGTTGCAGGGGATCCAACAGCCTCTTCTGTCCTCCACGGGCATTGCATGACATGAGAGCACTTACCTATACACAGACAATACACGCATACACATAAAATAAAAATATTAAAATATAAAAAAAATTGATCACTCTAGTTTTTTTGATCACTCTAGTTTCTTTGTTTTGTTTTGTTTGTTTGTTTTTGAGACAGGGTCTCCCTGTAGCACCAGATGGCCTGGAACTCACTATGTAGACTAGGAGGCTGTCCTCCATCACTCAAAGATCCATCTGACTCTGCTTTCTGAGTGCTGGGTCACTCTTGTTGCTTGAGATGATATGTGGGAAATTCAGGTTCAGATAGCTCTCAGTACTTGTGTTATCTGACAGGCTAAAACTCTGCATTTTGGGAAGAGTAGTATTGTCTTAGATACTTTAACTATACAAAGTCTAGTTTTGTATGTTTTCTAGGAATAGTCAAGTATTGTCCTATTTATAACAACACTTGACCTTTTAAAATATCTAGATTTTCCAAATATGACTGAATTTTATTCTATCAGCTGGCAGCACAAATTTCTACAGTAGGATAGTTTTACTGTTATCATGTAAACTGTGAATTTCATATTGTTCTTACACCTATGTGTGGGATGTCTATAAAGTTAGGTTAAAGTTACTACATAATATCTTTTAGTGCTTTAATGAAATAGTGAATTATTGTTACTTGACCTTTTGAAAAGGTCAGTAGTACATTTGAATGTAATGAAAGTCAGAACTGTAATATTACCATGAAAGTAAAGGTTATGGGGTACATTTAATTGTGTTCCTCTGTTTTTGAATCTGCTTTGAGAGAGACTGCTAAAATTCCACATGGTAATTGTTTTTCAAGAATTTTATTACTCTTTTCATTTTATACTGTTGGAATAAAAGATTACATTTTTGTTTGTCTTTTTCTGCTTATTTTTGCTCAGATTTCACAAGTATCATTCTATTTAAGTTATAGACTTTAAACTTCTTACCAGTTGCTATCAAAAGAAAGTAAAAACTAGATATATTTTTTTCAGTGAATACTCTTTCTTTTCTGTAGACTCTTGAATAAAATTTTCTATGACTAGTGAATATTTAAATTTGGTAAGTTGATATATTACTGATTTTTTTTAACTAAATGTTCATTATTGTAGGAAAATTAAATAACTGGTTTACTCTCTCTGTGTGTGTGTGTGTGTGTGTGTGTGTTTGTGTGTATGTGTGGTATGGAATGTATATGGTGTATACACATGTGCATGTGGGGGGGGGTCTGTATGTTCGTGTGCATGCAGGAAGGAAGGTGGGAGGACATCAGATGTCCTGCTCTTGCTCTGCTCTTTGCCTTGTGTCCACACCTTCTTGCCTCTGCTGGGTAGCGCTGGAGTTACAAAATGCACATAACTTTTTACGTGGATAGTGGGATCCAAATTCAGGTCTTTGGTGTATACACATGTGCATGTGGGGGGGGGTCTGTATGTTCGTGTGCATGCAGGAAGGAAGGTGGGAGGACATCAGATGTCCTGCTCTTGCTCTGCTCTTTGCCTTGTGTCCACACCTTCTTGCCTCTGCTGGGTAGCGCTGGAGTTACAAAATGCACATAACTTTTTACGTGGATAGTGGGATCCAAATTCAGGTCTTTATGCTTGTGCAGCAAGTGTGCTTATTGATTCTCTTACCCCTAAATTATTACTTCATGTCTAAACATTTAAATGTAACACTATATATTTTTATTTTATTAACATCTAGAAAGTCACAAATATAGTGGGGCTGGAGAGATGGCTCAGCAGTTAAGAACACTGGTTGTTCTTGCAGAAGA